TTGTGCAGGCTTACGGTTTGGGTTTCATGGTTCATGGTTTAGGGTCTTAGGTTTTGGGATGTCCAGGGTTTAGGGTTTAGCGTTTAGGGTCCGGGGTGTAGGGTTCAGGGCTTACGGTTCAGGTTCGGGGTTGAGGGTTTCGATTACTTTGTCGCCCCTGAAACCCACAAATGTTTAGGTTCTGGTCCGTCTTGTAGCTTCGTATACTTGACATAGTCCCGAATAAGGAGGCCATGTCCAGTAAAATATCTAGAACATATGGACTGTAGCACATAAACTTTCTGGCCCCCTTTGCAGGTCTCAGGACAACCTAGAGATCGGCCGCACTGCGTTGCAAGTGGCTGCATTCCTAGGACACGAGCAGGCCCCGTGAGCTAGGAATGGCTTTGCCCTAAACCCTAAGCCCTAAACCCTACCTAAACCCCAAAAGTAGGTAAAATAATAGCCCTAAACACCTAAATATAGCCCAAAAGGCCATTATTCTACCTACTTTGGGGGTCCAGGTAAACCCTAAGGCTCTTAGGCTTTAAGGCTGAGGGTTTAGGTGCCCCAAGGCTCCTCGAGAAAAAGGGTTTACCTAGAAAGACAGTTGCAAGGTTTTACGTATAGTCTACCCGCTCCCGATTGTTTACTTTTGGACTAAAGTAGCCCATTGTTGGGGGCAACTAGGCTTTCTAGGCAGGGTTTAGCGGGGCTACCTACAATACCTTGTGGTCCTAAACCCTAAATCCTAAATCTCAGGACCCTAGGACTATTTAGGGCTCTCCGGAGTAAGGTTTGGACTTTGGGGGCTAAGGGGTTTAGGTTTGAGGTTTACCCTAATGCTCTAAGGACTCATATTTCGAGGCTTTTGGGCCCAAAGACTACACAAAAGCATGCTCGTGGGCTGTTGTGAAGGCAGGCTAAATACGCCTTACATAAGCCGATTGTCAAAGTATTGTCCCTTCTGGGGTAACCCAATGATTAGGGGGGAAAGCCTCCCATTTACTCCCTCAAATCGACCCCAGTGCTCTCCGTGTGCATGGAAACTACCATGCGGTAGGGCAATATTTCCTCCGTTCATGGTAGCCGCGCGGTATGTTATCCCAGGAGCGAAGTGCATCGCCCAACCAGCAGTGTATCTTGTTTGGCTGCACCGCCCAAGACAACTAAGAGCATGCTACGCACCATGTTCATTGCAAATGAGCTATAGTCTAAACTCCTTACAGAGGTTTATATCAGGGATTATGTAAGGGAGTAATTATAAGGGGGATACTAGGAGTTTTTTACTATGGCCCATATTGGCCTTAACCCTAGAACCCTTGGTCATGACTCGTGACACATTCTAACAGAAACCCTGCGGCTACATTAGAAAGAGGCTGAAGAGGGATAGCCTAGTTCCCTATATACCCAGCAAGATTAAAAGTGGTAGGTTGTCAAGAGTTCGCCTACAGAGCCTTAAACCCTCAACCCCAAACCCTAAACCCGAAAGCCTCCAGGGGCCAAAGTATCGCATATTATGTACCTAAACCACCAAAACATGTAAGATAATAGACCTAAACCCATAATAACAGCCATAAGGGCCATTATTTTACATGCTTTTGGGGTCCAGGTACCTTGGATGTGGACCCCTCGACCTACTGGGTTCACGGACCAACCCCCTTGCCTAATAATCACAGGTTGACCCAATACCCGTACCATAACTACCCCAGAGGGTCCATGTACCCAATAACTAGGTACTTGGGTTTGGGGTAATGGTAATTATAGTACAGGTTTTGGGCAAGTATATGATTATTGGGTACTTGGACCCTTAGGGTACTATTGCCCCAATGGCAAATACCTACTAGATCCTAAACCCCTGAACTCTAAACCCTAAACCCTAGACCCTAAACCCCCAAACTCCGGACTCTCTTGGACAGTTCAGGTGGTAAGAGTCCTCCTTGCCGGCAAAGCTCAGGCGGACGTGATGCAGAGTTTGGCTTAGGGCTTGGGGTAAACTGGGTGTTTAGGGGGTTTAGGGTTTGGTGTTTAGGGTTGAAACAGATTCTACGAAATTCAAGAAGATGGAAGATGCACGTGTTGAGCTCGGTGCTTCCTACGAACTGTAGGAAGATGCATTTTTGATCCTAGCGGTCTTTTTAATAATCATACGATCTCATGGAATTCTCGCAGAAACAACATATATTGGAATCTACACCCTGCACCCCTAAGCCGTCAACCCTAAAACCCCTCGACTGTAGAACTTATCTTTTTTCTATATCCCCCTGTAACCCGCTCCCTTTGGGATCCTAAATGCTGCAGGCTCCTGTACATGACCATTTTTTTTGGGAACTTTGAGGCTCAGAGGATTTCCTTAGTAGGTTAAAGAGATAACTGGGACAGAATCAGGCCAGCCCCACTTTGGGGACGCGGTTTAGGGTTTAGGGTTTAACCCCATGTCGAACCTACTTCCTACGTTCCCCATGCCCTTAACCCTTAAACCTGCACCGCCAATTGTCCCTACAACCCCTTCAAGGGCTCCAAAACCTAGTTTTTGCTATGAGCGTAAACCCTAAACCGTAAAACCCCAGACCCCTATACCCTTATGTCTAGTATCTGCTGTACACAAAAAAAGGTACCCTACAGAAGGGGTACTGTATAGAGGTCTAGGTAAGCCCTAGACCCTAAATCCTAAAACCTAAGCCCTATAGATCCTTAACCCTAAGCCCTAAATCATAAACCCTAAATCCTAAACCCTACACTCTTAACCCTAAACCTTAAACCGAAACCCAAAAACCCCAAGCCCAAAACCCTACACCCCAAAACCCAAGGTCTCCAGCAGCACCTTCGGTGGACCCTGCCCGGAGCTTGTGGACGCCATCGATGGCTGCCATGTGGCGGTGGTAAAGCTCCTCGTGCAAGGCCTTACTGGATCCTAGGGTTTAGGGCTTAGGGTTTAGGGGGATATTGATATTATAGGGATATGTAGGGTTTAGGGATCCTTTTTATACTTTTTGGGGGTATGGGATTCCTTATATTCATGTATAAAGGATGCTTTTTCTTCCTGGGTAATGTGGCCTAAGCTTAGAGCCATGGGAATTCCTGAAATTGTGTAAGGGTATACGGGAGGGTTTCGGGTTTAGGTTTTGTAGGGTTTAGGGTTCAAGGGGCTACATAGGTGTGTATGATGAGATGTATTCATGTATCTCCATAAATATACATATATATATATTCATATGGAGATACATAGGGTGTTGTACCCAGTGTTTTCGTATCATTTCCTTCTTACAAAGCCTCCAGCCCATTCTAAGTAGGGCTGAGGGTTAAGGGCTAAGGGTTATGAGGATGCAGGGCGTACATGTTTTGCTACATGGTAAAGTCGAAGTTGTTGGGGCAGGTAAGGAAAGAACCGTAGATTCTGCATGCGATTGAATCAGAGACTACCCAGATTCAGATCCTGCTCCTGCGAATTCCCCTAAACTCTAAACCCCTAAACCCCTAAACCCTAAGCCCCTAAACCCCTAAACCCAAAACCCTTCCCCGCAGAGCCTTTGTCGCCTACATGAAGCATTCACGGGGCTCCGAAGTCTCCAGACAGCAATATTCTTTGCTTTTAAAGGGTTTAAGGTTTAGGGTACATGCGCCCATTGCAGCCTAAACCTAAGACTCAAGCAATAATCCCGACCCACCCTAAACTCTCTAACCCGCAACCATTGAGTCCAAAGTCAAAAAAAAAACTCTCAGCCTAAATCCCTGCACCCTAACGCCTAGAACCCTAAACACTACACCCTGAGACGAAGATTCCCGAAACTTTACAGCCTTAAAACCTAAACCCTAAACCTGAAGTTCTAAAGCCCCTAAGCCCGCAACACCCCAAATTACAAGACAACACCCGAAACACCTTAAAGACCCAACGCCTCGCATGAAGCGCCCTAAGCTCTAAAACCAGGATTCCCTGTTTTGGGGCTTGGGTAGAGCGTTCCGGGTCTGAGTGCTCAATAACCATGTACTTCCCCTGAGCGGTACTACAATTCCTAGTACGAACGTCCCAAGTAGCCAATTATCAGGTACATATACCCCAAACCCTAAACCCTAAAACCCTAAAACCTTAAACCCTAACATCCTAAACCCTTAAAGGGTTTCCCCTGCCATGGTTCAGGGCAAGCGGACCTCTTTGGACAGGAGGAGCCAAGGGGAGTGGACCATCTTTTCGAGGTGGGTTCCGGGTTTGTAGGGTTTAGGGTTTAGGGTTTGGGGTTTGGGGTTTAGCGTTTAGGGTTTAAGGGTTTAGGATTTGGGGTTTAGGGTTTGTTAGGGGTTTCTAGTCACCCTTAAGGTTTACCGGGGTAAGACTGGGGTAATATTCGGGTTGTATTGGGCTTGTAATGGAAAAGAAAATGGAAACTGTAGAGATTACAGGGGTATATTGTGGTTATAACGGAAAAGAAAATGGAAACTATAGGGGTTCATGGGTACATAATACAGGGTATATAGAGTTAGCAATGACCATTTCCATT